CCTCCTCCCTTGGAGGGAGGCTCCCGCCGGACGGGGGGCGCTGGCTGGGCGGAGGCGCGGCGCAGGACACCTAACAGGTGTGACTCGCGCGGATGGGCGCTCCACGTGTCGCGGAAACCGGGGCCGGGACCGGCTGGTGGCGGCGGGTGGCCGAGTGCCACGGGCCGGAGGCCGGGCGCCAGTCCCAGACACGGTGCCGGATCGTTAATGTTCTTCTTCAAAGCCAGCTGGGTCCCGGTCACCGGGAGTGAACTCCAGGCTCCACGCCTGCCCGCCCCAGCGCTGGCTGCCCTGAATCGGAATTGCTGCCGCGGGGCCTGATCCACTTTTCGGTCCCCTTCCTGGTTCATCTGCTTTCTTCCGTTAGTTTACCCAGGGCCAAGGACGGAGATTCAAAATCCCCCTCTCCGCTCCTCCCCCAGAATTCAGAAAATGCTCTGAGGCCAGTTGGGTTGGTGCGGAGTGTGGAGAGAGGAAATGCCTTGCGCTGGGGTCTCACGTGGACACAGTACCTTTACTCACACTGGCACACCCCAGGGCTGGGTTTATTTTCCTCTTGGCAGAACTAGGTCACCCCAGCAATGCAGAGTGGGATAGAGGGCCAGGATTTTTCATTTTCTGTCTTTTCTGCCCCTTTCCCCTCCCTCCAGTCTTTCCTTCGGAGGTGGAGAGGGCGGAGGGGGGTCAGAATTTGAGTGTGTTAGGCGCCACCATTTTCCCCAATTTTGAATGTCTTGGAATTGCAGAGAGCCTTAGAGCTAAATTATACTGATCACCTCCCTCTTTCCCCCAAATTCATGTGTAGGCAAAAACTAGATAACAGTTCTCATCTGTTAGGAGTGCAGATCTTCCCTGAATGAAAGGCTTTCTGGGAATTTTTTTTTCTTCTGGTGAATAAATATTCCGAGGCAGATCCTCCATTTCTAAGGCAACTTCCTCGCCACTCTACCCTTTCATATTTCAACCCCTTCTGTTCCAATCTGTAGTAGCTACATTGTCTGTGAATTAGGCACCAGAGAGGAATTGAGTTTGGCAAGAAGAAAACATTTTACGATGATGTCAACACTTATATAAGATCAAAATACTGATAATTTATTTATTTTTAAGCTTTGTTAGCATGTTTTTTATTTGCAGACTTTCTTTGACAGCTGTCAAAAGTCAGTGGGTGGAAGTTTTCATGCCAGGGACAGAAACGTAAGGTAGCAGGCTCATCAAGCCTGCAATGAAACTTGGGCAAGTTGTGAAACTTGGGCTAATTGCTCAAATGCCTGAGCAAATGCAATGAAGATAGATTAATGCAACCATTTTTGTGAGCACCAGGCATACACACGATGTTATGTCTACACTGGGAAAATAAAGGGTTATAAGGTGCATTCTCTTTTTAAGAGGTGTACGGTCTCGTTGAAATGACTTAGCTATGATTAAGCCTACTTAGCTATGATTAAGATTATTGTCAATAATAATTTACTATAACCATCTAGTAGTACACACCAAGGAAAATGTTTATGTTGAGTTATTCTTTTATTAATAAACTTGATTCTGTGCCCAGTTTATCAGATGTTAAATACAAATACACTTTCTCCATAATTGCTATTCAGACAAGAAAAAGCACTTCATCATATTTGCATAAATATAGCCATTAAAGCATATGTACATTAACTTGATAGATTAAAACAAATTGTTTTCAGATAGTAAATTTAAACTTCAAGGGCCCAAGCCTTCTATTTATTATTTATTTGTTTTTTGGATATAAGTGAAACATTGAAAGGTTCTGTTTCAAGGTTCAGTGTAGAATTCATCTCAGGGAGTGTAGAAAAACCTTTTGGATTAAAAAATTAGAGCTTCTAATTCTATATTTTTAACTTCAGCATTAAACAACTTATGTTTTCTGTACCATATATGTTTCATGAATTATGTCAGTGTAATAATTATGCCACATGTATAAAATTTGTATATGTGCATAAATCTATGTGTATATGCTGAATTTTTAAATGAGGAATTTAAATAAAAAACTTGGGTTCGCCATTGTCCTCAATGGAGTACTCTTGTCAAGTGGACTAGACTACTAAAAATCTTCTCATTTTTCTGGGTCCATTCTGAAACTGTAATTTTTATTAGGAGAAGTAATACAAAATGTAAATGAGGCCGGGCTCGGTGGCTCAGTCTGTAATCCCAGCACTTTGGGAGGCTGAGGCGAGTGGATTGCCTGAGCTCGAGGGTTCAAGACCAAATAAAAAATTAGCTGGGAACCTAATTAGTGCGTACCTGTAATTTCGGCTACTTGGAAGGCTGAGGCAAAGGATCGCCAGAGCCCAGCAGGTTGATGCTGGGGTGGCCGTGAGCATGCTACTGCACTCTAGCTACTGCACTCTAGCCGTGAGCATGCTACTGCACTCTAGCCTGGGCAATGAAGTGAGACTCCAACTCAAAAAATAATAAATGAATAAATAAATGAATAAGTAAATAAATAAATGAGCATAAATTATAAACAATAATAGAAGATGTTATAAAACAATAGTAGAAAGTGTTATAAAACCAAAATAGAAAATGTTATAAACCATAATAGAAAATGCAGCTATAATCTGTTATTTTCTCTGTTTTCTCTATATTTTCATAGTGGCCTCTTCTTTCTTACATCACTTCAAACTATGAAGGACACTAACTTTTAAAAAAAGGCAAAAAGAAAAAAGCAAGGCATAAGACAAAGTACAAGAAAAATGTTCTTGATATATATTGCCTTTACTTCTTTTTGTCTCATTTAAAAAAGAAATCAGTATCCCCTACCATTCTGTAAAGTTAGCCCAGCAATAATGCCAACTTTTGTTTTTGCTTTATCTTTACATTTTTGGATCCTTCATTGATATTTCTAAAGTGATTCTACTTTCCTTTAAACTGCAGAATGGCTTTAGTGATTAATGATTTTATGCTTAAAAATCCTCACATCAGAGTCTCTATCAACATCAAATGGTTAAAAGCCTTTCTGTGTTGGTCTTTGTTGCTCTCTGCTGTGGGAGCCGAGGGAAACCTCTTTCCTCTCTGAAGGTTTGCTGAAAATCACTGACAAAAGGAAGATTAATAGGAGAAGAGGCATACAGATTTATTAACGTGTACATGGGAGCCTTCAGAATGAAGACCCCAAAATACAGCGAAATTGCCCATTTTAATGCATCGGTTCAACAAAGTGTGGACGGCAGTGTAGAAATATGATTGAACATAAAGGGTATAATCTATTGCTAAAGACTGAGTGGGAAATCCAGCAAGGCCCATCTGTCACTTCTTCTGCACATGCACTTCTTTCTTCTGGGACTGGGGCAGGACCCTCTCTGGAACAGGGGTCTTAGGACTGACAGTCAAACAAAGTAGGTCAGATCATTTATGGCCAGTTTTTATACAGAAAGGCAGAGGAAAGCTAGAGCAATATTTTTAGAGTTGATGGATGACTTTGGGGAAACGGGGTTCTGGTTTCTGTGACATGACTTGGGGAAAAGGAATTCTAGTTTCTACAGCTAGCCTCAGGAAAATGGTACTGAGAGACAGGAAAGAAGGAGAAGGTCAGAGAAAACTTTTGCTTCTGAGGCTCCTGAAACCTTCATTTAGAGGTATTGTTTTCTGAGTTGCAACATTGTGCTAGGTTGCAAAAGTACGTCTGTAAACCCAGCAACTTGAGCAGTTGGTGAATGTGAGGATGAGGGGAGTTTAAAAGAGAGAACAGGAAACTACAATGAAATAGTTGGAGATTTTTTTAGGTTTGGGGCAGTCTTTTAAAAAAACACTTTGGAACATAG